GCACTGTAGAGAAGGATTAGATCGGGGGCAGGGGGAGGAAGAGGAAATGAGAAGACGCCAAGTTCGTAACTTGGTATCATCATTCATCTAATTACCTATCAATCAAGATAAATATATGAGGACAGGTCACTGGAGAGAAGGTAGTTGTGGCTTAGTCATGCATCTATCGTATCAGCTAACCGCTTTATGTTCATAAGCCTCATCCACCTAGTAAAACCATAATCTTCTTGAAGGCAGAAATGATTCACAAGGCTCTTGTGTCCACATGTCCACTCAGTGTCCACTTCCAATATAAAAGTTAATACAATTCACCTATATTTTTAAAAAATAAAAGTGTACAAGACACTGTGCTAAAAATGTACCTGCTGACCAAAGGTAGAAATCATAAAACAAAATATGGATAGGATTTATTGCATAAAATGTTAAAGTATCTATAATTTATAAAAGAAGAAAGACAAATGACTAATACAAATTTAAAAGCTTAACTTCACTAATGATTAAATAAATACAAATTGAATCTAAGAGTTTTCCTGTCTATCAAATTTGAGAGACTTTTTAAACACCCCCACAAGATCTTCCCTGTAATCTGTCTGCTGGAGCTGCTGAAAACAGAGAATCTGACAAGGGCTCTGGGGCCCAAGAAGACACCAGAGCTACTATGAAAAGAGACTGGTCCTAGACCAGGCACGGTGGCTCATGCCTGTAATCCCAGCACTTTGGGAGGCCAAGTCAGACAGATCACTTGAGGCCAGGAGTTCAAGACCAGCCTAGCCAACATGGCAAAACCCCGTCTCTACTAAAAATACAAAAAATTAGCCAGGCATGGGGGCACATACCTGTAGTCCCAGCTACTTGGGAGGCTGAGGCACGAGAATTGCTTGAATCCAGGAGGCAGAGGTTGCAGCGAACCAAGATCATGCCACTGCACTCCAGCCGGGGCAACAGAGTGAGACTCTGTTTCAAAATAATAATAATAAAGAGACTGGTCCTTGAGTTGATTCTTTATTCAATGGTAGAGCTACACAGGAGATCTGCCTAACCAGGAGCATGGCAAGAAATAAACCTGCTAAGATTCAGAATTTCTTCTTCCCCCTGCAATATAACTAATATACAGATTACCTCATTTAACCTTTAGAATAACCCATTGAGGAATGCATGATCATTCCCATTTTGGAAACTGAGGTAGTGAAATCAAGAAACTTGCTATGGCTCTATAATTAACAAGGAGTGGAGCCATAATTAAAGCTCACATATTTCTGGCTTTAAAGTCCATGCAATGTGAAGTCTGTATTCCAAAATTAAATGATTATGAGGTGATCATCATTCTGTTTGAGAACTAGCCCTATATATTGGCAGAATAGGCCCTCAGCATGCACAGCACCTTGAGGGGATCGTTCCATATCCCCTAAAAGACCAAAATTAGCTGCCACAGCATGGGGGTCTCTTCTGAGTGAAGGCCACTATTGTGTAGGCAATAATGATACTTTAATCAATATCTCTCTGTCTCAGTTTTCTCATTTGTAAAAATGGATAGTAAAATCTACTGCAAAATTCTGTTGAGAAGATTAAAGTCTTAGCCCACAGAAGAAAGCTGGCACTGCCTCAAAAGTTATCTTTCTAAAACACAAGCTCCATCGTAGTAAATCCTATTTAGTCTTCAAAACACAACTCCAATATCATCAGTGGGAAGCCTGTCTGAACTACCCAGTGACAGGGGCAATTGCTCTCTCCTTCCAGGCTTCTATTATGCCCTCCATGGACCTATGTAGTTTCATTCTTCACATTATAACCTAAGCACTCATTTACTTTTCTATCACCCTTACTAAACCGTAAGCCATTTGCGAATGGGGTCAATGGTTTATGCATCTTGTGATGTAAAAGGAATCAAAACAGGCCACCCCAAAATATATCACTTTGGCATATTGATTATTTTGAGCTAAAGGCAATTGAGAAAAAGCAGATACAGGAAGGGCTTTCTGACCTCCCCATTTCTACCTAAAAGCAAGGCATAACATTTCCCATGAGAAATGTCCCTTCCCTGTGCCAGGAAGAGGAGAACATTCTTATGATCAAAGATGGAGAGTCAACACCAAGATAAATCTCTACTAAAAACACTCACCTATTTTCCATTAGTTTTCCCCATACATTTCCCACTTTCTTACAATCGACTGCCCCAGTCCAAATTCCCTTTTCCCTTTGTCTTGTCACATCTCCACAATTTATGCTTCCTTATTAAAATGCTTTATAAACTCTCAGGCCTCTCCCCTTCTTTGGGTCTTTATTTCTTATATAGGAAGCCCTCTATGGTACACATAAAAACATTAACATCAAATAAAATGTGTATGCTTTTCCTCTGTTAGTATGCCTTTTGTCAGTTTAGCTATCAGGACCAGGCACAGAAACTAAGAGGGCAGAGGAAAACCTTTCCTTTTCTACAGATGCCAACACTAAGTCCAGGGCCAGAAAATGGCAGAACATGTTTCATTCAAAAAAAAAAAAAAAGTCCATAGTTTTATCCTCATAACAACCCTGTAACGCAATGGTTATAAGTCTATGAACACTTCAACATGGGAAAACTGAGGCTCCAAGTTACAGTGGCTGTCTAAAATCATATGCAAGAGGCCAAACTTGCACAGAACTCAGGTCTCTGGACTGAAACCTGTATTCTGCACTATTCCATTTGTAGCTTTTCAAAGACAACAAAGAAAAAAGACCCAGCCCAGACTGTCTAGACCATGACTAGAGAAAGTGATTGCTCAAAGGTGTTAGGAACTGAATGGTATTAGGACATCTTAAAAGTCATCACCTGGGAGAACCCGGGAGGCGGAGCTTGCAGAGAGCGGAGATTGCGCCACTGCATTCCAGCTTGGGCGACAGAGCGAAACTCCGTCTCAAAAAAAAAAAAAAAAAAAGTCATCACCTGGGAAAGTATTGGAACAGCAGTAAAGTATATGGAAGGTTGACATATCTGGGTCTAAATCCAGGATCACTCTGTCATTAACCCTGTGTGACCTTGGGCAAATCTCTTAAACTAGGGAGCTTCAGACTTCTTCTCTGTAAAATGGGGTTTAAAACAATGATACTTATATTTTAGGGTTTTATGTAAAGATTAAAGAATAAAAGACATTTTGTATTTTATAAAAAATAACAGTTATAAGAAACAGACTGAGGATATAGTAAGGATCAACCAAACTGCACTTATTATTATATGTTACAGGAAAAAATGGTACATATTAAATCCTTGTGACACAAAGTATTTTTCATACCCTATCTTATTTCATCCTCACAGCAACCTTGTGAAGCAGGTGCCACTACTTTGATCTTATATTGAAGAAACTAAGGCCCTGAGACATTTAAGTAACTTGTTCAACATCACAGAGGTAGCAGTGGGCAGAGCCAGCATCCAGACATATCTTTCTGAGTCTAAAGCCCAGATCAGTTTCAGTGGAGGGAAGACAAGGTGGACAGAAATGTCCCAAATGTCTGAGAGCAGTGTGAAGTGCTAGAAGAGACACAGATTGGACCAGATTCATGTGTAGTTGGGATGTGCATTAAAGATGTTTACCACATGTATAGGACAAGGCAGGGGAGAAATCAAAAGGGAAAAAGATGGCCAACAATAAATATCATGCTCCTCAATGTCCCTTTCAGCAAGTAACACAATGAATAGTAAAGATGACTCATACTCATATCTCAGTCCTTGTGCTAAGAGCCTCCAGGTTAAATATCGCATATTGTCATACTGATGTATTATTTTCTCATGATTTTGCTACCATTTGTTATGTCCTGGAAAATGTTCTGAAACAAAAAGAGGAAGTTCAGAAAGGTCACAGGAAACTTCTGATCTCCTTTATGCAAAGAAGGGGAAACAAGTTCTACGAGGTTAGTCTGTTATTTTCATCATTAACACTAGGCACGTTAGAAGATGATTCAGGTAACCAGAACAGCAGTAGCTGACTTCATATCATCTTATAGACGAATAAATGCTACTTCACAATAACACAACAACAACGAATTGTTTCCTGGTATTTTCCTTCGTCACACAGTTCCCCCATGCCTGGACAAATAGGTCTTTGCATTCTCCAGTCAAGGCCCAGGAAACTTTCACGCTGTGCATGTTTTTGATTCATGCAACCAGGTTATGTTCTTGTAGAAAAGTAGTGGAAAAAAAAAAAAAAAACGAGGGTGGGGGAGGCCTCTACCAGTGGGATAGAAAGTTCTTTTTCAGTGAGTTCCTCACACCAAGTCCTCCCACCTGAGGCCACAAGTCTGTGAACCCAGAAAGATGCTCAGTTGAGGCTGAGAATCCGGTCTTGGAGAAAGAAAACTCAACAAAGAAGGGGTGGCTGAGCGCACTTTGACAGAGTATAAAATCATTTTGTCTATTCAAATTTATGAGCATAAGGAGAGGGAGAAGTTCTCTACTAACATATACATCCTCGTGTGAACTTTTCCAAAGTAGAGCTAAGGGCACACAGAGCTAGCAGATCTCATAGAAAACTCATTCCTAAGGGACTACCTGTAAACTCAGAAGTTTCTGTCTTCACATGATCAAATGCACAGTAGAGACCACCTCCGCTCTTCCCTCCATTAAAAGCGCTGTGCCCCTCACCACCAGCAACTCACGCCTAGCCACTCCACCACTCCCCGTGGCCCCTGAAAGGCCTCAGGCTCCACAGAGCCGCAGGACCCGCGGGAACACCCCTCCTCTCCCTACCATCCCCATTATTCGGCACACAGCCCTGCTCTTCCCTGGAGCCAACAGTCTGCAGCTCCTTCAATGCAGGCGCGAGCAGGCAGGAATGGTGGGAAAAGAAGCTGTGCCAGCTGCATGTTTCAGAATCTCCCTCCATATGCATTTGCCAAAGGAACAAAAAGAAAATCAATGCCAGGAAAAGACAACTGAGATGAGGATGCGGTGGGACCGCGGCTGACTCCGTGCCTCTGAGCAGCAAGGGGCTGGCCAACCACGCGTCCGAGCCACAGATCCGAGTCGTTACCTTCAGGATGCAGGCCATGGCGCTCCGCCGGCCCTCCTGCCACCGAGCAGTGGGCGCGCCTGGGTCAGGGGCAGTCCCGGGGGCAGGATGGAGGCTGGTACCGCGGCAGGACCGCTCCAGCCCACATTCCCGCAGATCCAAATAAGGGGACCGCGGGGCAAGCTGCGCCGCCACAGACCCCGCCCCCCGGGCCGCGGCCCCGCCCCCGTCCCCATCCACTGGCCCGCGGCCCGCGCGGCCCCGCCCCCGGGTCACGTGCCGTCCCGGGCGCCGGCGCCGGCGGCCCCTCGGTGCCTGCTACTTCTTTCTCTTGTTTTCCTCTGTGAATGTTTTGCGGCTCGGCGTGCACCGAGTGCGCTCCGCAGCAGGCAGGGACCTGAGTCCCGCGGGGGGCCAGAGAACGGTCTTTTCTTCTCGCTTCCGTCTTCTCTCACACATCAGAGAACTCCTTTTTACAGACGTTTCACACTTTGTCAAACTTCAGTGCGTTTGGCATCGCCTTTCTACAGACTTTGGGCACATCAAAGGGTGTTTCAAAAGTAGCAACGAAGTTCTCCCTGGGCTGTTCAAGGATTGAGCCTTCACTCTGTGATGGGCTTATCTAAAATTAATAATTTGCCACTAATAAGGGAGCACAAATATCAACGAATGAAAGCCGTCATGAACCTTACACTGTGTATGGTATATTTTGTGTGTGTGTATTTTATATATACATATATGTGTGTACAATATATGGATTATTGCCTTTTCCTGCTACAAGCTTGTTTATGAAATCGTAGGTGCGTAATATACAGTCTACAGATACAGGATGCACGCGTGTATATTGTATTAGATATGTACATGTTGATTATACAATATATGTTTATAAAGTGTGTGTGTGTACATGACAGGACTTTGCTCTTCCCTGCTTCAAGCAAGAGCCGGCTAAGAGAAGCAGTTATTTCTACAAATAGAGTAAGCGCATTGCAGAAGGGAGAAAGCATTCCGTGTACACACACAGATTTTTACCAGTTGGTCTATCAGAAAAATTTTAAAGCAACCCCCAAATATTTACCCAAAAGAAGTTTCACTTGCTAGAAGCCCCATCTAGTTTGCCTCTATGGAATCGGAAAAAGCACTGTGGGCTGGTGGTGTCATGAGATTGGCTCACAAACCACAAGGCAGAAACCAGGCTTTCAAGGAATTTGGTATTTTCTTTGATGAGAACTTGCAAAATTCTTAGAGAGCAGGAGTAACCACAGGAAGGAGGTTGCAGAAGCTGAGCCTGTGGATGAACTGCCTGTCCCATGGGAAGCTCCCGTCTTCAGTCTCCCTGGGGTACCACACCCTGATCTTCGACTTCTTATTCCCGCCGCTCCCTCCTCTGCCTTACAGATCCAGCGTGTTTTCAGTAAGAACTCCTTGTTCGGAACGATATACTTTGCTGCTGTAGCTCACGGTCCTTCATGGGCCAGGAAAACTCAGTATTTCATTCATTCACTCATCCCTTGATTAACTCCACAAATTTTTTTTTTATTGAGCTACTACTAAATGGAGGAATAAACTTTATTCCCCTTCCACTAAGTGGAGGAAAAATATTGAGGACCTTTCAGGGATAGGAGAATGACTTTCAGGATATCTAACATCAACGTGGGCTCACAGTTAAGTGCGAAAGATAAGAATAAAAGATACATGATACTATAACATGGAAAAGGCCTTAGCCAAATTGGAGGCAAAGTTCTCAGGAAAGAGGGTCTGGGCCTGGCAGAACAGCAGGGCAAAGGGGCAAGGGTGGGCAGACCACATCGTTCTCTCCAGGAAGTTCGTACATCCGGAAAGCGAAACAGCAGGCCCTAGTGAACAGCCCCGCTAAGGACTTCCCTGCAGGGTATTCTTGATCAAGTTTCTTAACCTCTCTTTAATCCTTACCTTATCTAATAGTATCTATCCTCAAGAGAATTAAATGAGATAATAATGTTTGCAAATGCACTCAGCTCAATTTCTAGCACTATGAGCACTTTTTAAATGATAGCTCTTTATGTAAAGAAGAAAATCTTCCACTAAAGATAGATTTGTGGGAGAAGCTGAGTAGGATGATTGCCATCAACCTTGGGTGTCTCAGGAGGATGAACACCAACGGAGCAAACATTTAACATGTTATGTCTTGGGTATGCCATGATGGGGCCTTTACTAACTCCCTCAATCTACTTGGGTATGGCTTTCTCCATTAAATTTCTACCCGCCCATGTCCATACTTCCCAAGGTGTTATGTTTTATTAGCATCCAAAAGTTATGTCTAAATACAACTAGAAATCTCATCATAACAATCTTAAAAACAAACTCAAGTTCTAGAATAAATCTGGACTGGAAGGTTTACAAAACAATCTTAACAATCACTGTTTTAGATGGACCACTCTTGATGTCTGGAAAAGAAAAAAAGCTTTTGGATGAAAATAAAAACAGATTTTGAACCTACCAGGGAATGCAGTTACAGCCAGGTTTGTTGGGGCTGGGAGGGTAGGAGTGTGTGGCCAGGATTTTTTTTGTTTTAAAACTGGCCAAACTACAGGAACAGCTTAGTCAAGTCCATAGGTGTAGCATAATTTTCCAGCTCTAACGTTGTGACTTAAAGCCAAGAGTTTCTATTTCCAAAAATAATCATAACAAAATGGAAGCATCCTTCAATTAAATAAAATATCTCATTTGATCCTCACAACATCCACATGGATGTTATCACCCCCAGCTGGTAACTAGGGGAACAGGGGTTTGAATCTAGGGACTTGTGGGTTTGCCATTTTAACTGCTACATTCAGCTGTCCAGTATGTTAGAAGCCCAATCTCTGTCATTTGTCACTCTTCAGATTTCACCTGTTGTCTTAGTGTAGCCATAGGAAAACTTAGGGTAAGTATGAATCCTCTCTGGGATACGTACTAGGATGCAAAACCTAGGGCAAGAATGTGAGTATGCAGAGGATAGGTACACTCTATCAATCTGAGTGTACCGGATAGATGCACTCACGCTGTATTTTTCAACCCTCAGCTCCTGGGTCCCACCTTAACAAAGACCCCGCACTTCTCATTGGTCTCTCACCAACCAAGCTGTTACCACCTTCTGTGCATGAGAATGACTTCCAATCAAAGATTCTCACTGCTGTATCTCACCCTGCTACCTGGTGGTGCCACAGAGCAGCCTGCCAGCCTTTGCTTCCCTTCATGGAGAGATCCTTGGGGACTGGCCCTTTCACTACCTCATCTTCCCTAGGGCTCTTCTTGGTTCCAACTGGTCCATCTTCCCTCTCCTCAGAGGCCTTTCACTAGTGAGATTTCACCATGCCTCAAAGTGAAGACTTCGTGAGTTATGACAAGTCATGGGTGAAAATTTGCTTCAATGTAAATTAAATTCAGTTTTGCTTCAATGTAAACAGCCCCATTACCCCGTAATTCTCAGAGTTATAACATACAGTTAGTTCCCTGATAGAAATAGAATTAACATGCTGACTCTCATAACTTCTCCCATTTCAGCCTGCACATATATTAATTTAATATATTTATATGCAACACAGAGTCATTTATTAAGATTTTAATTGGATCTCAATTTTTCCAATCTAAAGATTTTAAATGAATTCCAGATATCATAAAACTCTTTTTGTCATCCACTACATAAATTATGCCTCCACAGGAGACTGTGACTGGAAGATCCATTAGAAAATGTTATGGGAAAGTCATTTTTTTAACATTCTGAGCCAGGATAGGAAATGATCTTCTTTTTCTAGAAACCATTGCACTGTTGTAATTGTGACCTAGGAAATTTTTCATATCTTAAAGTAGGCATCTAGGTGTCTAGGTCCACATGTGTGTCTGTAGTTGTGTTTAAGTGCATCTGTGGCTATGCCCTTTTAGGTAGCTGTTTATGAGAATACACTGACATATGGGGTTAAGCTTCATTTCCCTCTTTTTTGATAGTAGGACATTCCAAAATGTCATCCAGTTTGCATTCCCAGGACTTCAGCTTACTGCTATTTCAAACCTTTACACAGTTCTAATCCAGAATTCGTCATTATCCCTGACTATACTGATATTTATCTGGGATGAACTCCAAGACAAGTTACGCATGATTTAAAATTACATTTTTTAAATATTATATTCAGTAATGTTCCCCCTTAACTTCATCTCAGCTATTGGAAGATTCCATCTTTTCCCAAATTTTGTTTTCAAATGGACCAGTAAAAAAAGCTGTTTTTAATTTTTTAAAAATCCACAACTAATGTTGTTTACCTACTTTTCATTACCTAGAAGAATGTAGTTTTTAACCTGATTTGTTTTTCTTAAAGAGTTTCCCTCTAAGATTTTTCTTAAAAAACATAATCAATTAAAAGTAAATATGGACTAGGCATGGTAGCTCATGTCTGTAATCCCAAAACTTTGGGAGACCCAGGCAGGCCTATCACCTGAGGTCAGGAGTTCAAGACCAGCCTGACCAACATGGTGAAGCCCCTAAAACTACAAAACTTAGTTGGGTGTGGTGGTGCAAGCCTGTAGTCTGAGCTACTTGGGAGGCTGAGGCAGGAGAATTGCTTGAACCCAGAAGACAGAGGTTGCAGTGAGCCAACATCATGCCACTGCACTCCAGCCTGGTTGACAGAGCTAGACTTCATCTCAAAAAAAAAAAAAGTAAATATGGCTGGAAGCATTGGCATGTAGTTTGAATTAAGTTTGTATTGGATCTCTCCAAGGCTGTTGAGGGCTCCATTATTAATTGAGTCTGATATTTCTTAACCATGTTTCCCAGAGTTTGTTTCCTTTTATTGTGAGATTTCTCTCATGTGTGTTTCTCTACACTCTTCTTGGATATCTCCTCTCAGTGAGGCCCAGTTACATGCTGCCCTAAAAGATTAGAGTGGAAAGTTGGTATTTGAAATGCATCCATGAAGGACTGATGGGAACAACCAGGGGAGAGGGCCCGACAGTTGGGTTTTGCTGCAGTTTATTTTGCCTGAACCATTTTTTCTCTAATGGTCTGGCCCTCAGAAACCCTCTGGAGAGAGCTACGATTTTTGCTAATTCTTCGTGTCAATACCATCCGCTTCCAGGAATCTCCCCGAACCCTCCTGTTTGTATCTATTTCTGAACTATTGCTTAAAAGGTAGAAGAACAACATCATCCAATGCAAAGAGAAAAGGTCCAAAAAGAAGTCAC